CTTTTTGGTTGAAAATCAGGAAATGTTCAACTTCAATTTATATTTTTTATAGCGAATCCTTACAAGAAGTCGCCTTGGCCAGTCGTAAAAAAATTTCAAAGTTGGGACGAAACTTGTTTGTTTACGGCTGAGAATTGCTTCAATTGAATGCTTTAAAAATTAATCATATGAAATCATTAACATAGAACAAAAAATCATGACATGGCCAAAATACAATCGTGGTTTATCTTTTTGTAGCGAAATAATGGTGCAAAGAGGCAAAATTTAACACACAAATATACCTCCATCAACTGAACTTTGTAGTTTGGACGACTTGTTAACATGAGCATGTTAAAGCAATTTGCTGTTTGGAAAATTTCCCTTCATTGAAGTTATCAAAAACCCGAGTCATTATCCTCAAAATTCAACTGTATATACCAAACAAACATTCATACGATACCCTAGATACTACTTCATCTTCCAGTGCAAAAAACATCCTCAAGAATTTATTAGTTAATGAAAAAACAGCAAAAACACAACAGCATGGAAAATCACACTCTTTGTCAACTTTTTCCAAAAAGCACGCTCGTGCCAATCCACTTCCGCATCACAGATCGATGAGCGCAACATCATATCAGGGCGGTTCACCCAGGGATGCCGGATCTACGTGTGCAGCGGGTGCAAGTGCACCCCTTGCATTTTGCATTTTCAACTTTGTGGGTGCAGACTATGGATGTAACGGGTGCACAAAACTTTTACAACAGACAGAATTAAACGTCGTTCGAGGATGTGTGTGTGGGTGTTCCACTCCCCCCCCCCAGTCGTCAGGAATTTGGCAAAATGTTATCCATTTGGCGAAATGTAAAACGGAAAGCATTACGTATGGAATTTTTGGCGACAAATTACGAAGGAATTGTGCCTAAATAATTGTATTCGGTCCGAAAACATTTGGTGACGGGGAGAGAGGTTGACACGAATGTAGGATCATGACGCCCTTTCATTTTCATTGGTGCCATTTATTAAGGAGTATGCCCTCTTTGTTAACCAATTGCACCCCTTGCCCTCAGCAACTTCCGGCATTCCTGGTTTCACCGCCCCCTATATATTAGCGACGTTGTGGTGAGAGTATACTATTTCCGTGCGGGCATTTACCGCAGGTATATGAGAACAAAACGTTGCTGACCAAAATCTAATTCAAATGAAAGCTTGTCCAAACGCAAAATATTTTAAATTAAAGTAATTTTGTACAGATGGTTTATCGGTAAAACAGTTTTTTGTCTCTCCAGCTCCCAATAGTAACACGCGAGGGATGATCGCGGGACGAAATTAGAATTGCTTGCATGTCGAGTATATATATGGACTACCCACTGTAATCTCTGGATCAAAGTCAACAAAAATTGCTTTGGATTTTTTTAAAAAGTTTCTAATTTTGAAATATTTGTTAAAAAGAAAACAACTTTGAATAACTGTTCGTTTTGAGTGCCAAATCATTTTTTTAAAATATAATACGAATATCACTAGGCCAAAAACTAGCCATGAAGAAATTTTTGTTCATGCCATATATAGCATTTCCGAGAGTAGCGGCGATGGTAAGTTACATGGCAGATTCGTAAAAATACGACAAATACCGAGTTTTTCCGACGAGCGTTTATGAGCATAATAAGCATAATTAAAAATATTGAATAATGAAAAATCTTGTGGTCAACTGATCATGCATATATGTGAATCACTCATTCACGTTTCGTCTCAGGCATAACGCAATAACTAAAGAGTTCGATATTTTTCAAAAGCTAGTCCTAATAGCCATTGCTATGGCAACAATGACGTCGCAACATGGCGGATATTTTATGTTTAAAGTAATTTATTCATAAAATGATTTCTATTGGTATTTTGAATTATTTTCATGATTTAAAAAAGATTCTGCCCAGCCGAAATTTTTCAAGATAGGAAAACGTGAAAATTCGTAATACTTTTTTTTGCCATGATAGGATTTTTTTAAATCATGAAAATAATTCAAAATTTTGAAAGATATCATCTTATGAAATAAAAAATGGCGGTCACCGAAGTTTTTTTTAGTTAAATTACTAAAGCAATTATTAAATTTTTTGTTTTTTTTTAAAATAAAATATCCGTCATGTTGTTATGTCATCGCCGCCATAGCAACGGCAGTTAGGAGAGGTTTTCATCCGATCTCCTTAGTTACTGTGTTATGCAAGTCGTATTGTAGTAGCTATTTCATTTTATTATTTTTGTATTGAATTTGGTTTAAAAGGTTTTGAAAGGCTGACAGGGCGGAGCATTTGTCCATTTTAACTGGCTCCGCATGGCGGGACATTAGTTTTGATTAGTGAAACGAAAATATCTAATCCCAGCCTAATGCCCGGATATGGGGCCCGGGGGTTTACATTCACTGGCGCATTATGACGTTTATAAATTATGCCGTGTTAATAAATATGGATGTAGTTTTCTCATTTTGTCACAATAGCTATTTTTCAATAAAGGTATTGATATTATACTTATTGAATCAATATTTAGAGTTTCAGACCTGTTGTACCAAAACATTTTGTATGTTAGTTATAAGCGCTAGCGTATCATAAGGTTCAGATGGCATGCAACATGTACGCACTGCGTATCTATTTTTAATGTTTTAACGTCATATACTATCAGTTACGTGTACCGCATTCGCTAAATTAAACGAAACCTTTTCATTTAAACTTTTAAAAAGTGTTTTTGATGTTTTGGTTAAGGTCATTGAACACTGTCAGGCAACATGTCACTGACAATTTCATAGCGAAAAGCGTTGATCGTTTTCAGCAAAAGTGCAAAACTCATGGCCAGAAATGGAGTCCAACATGGCTGCCAAGCATGCGCATTTTGACTCAAAATAAAAATTCAAAATGGCGTCTTCTTATATAATTTGAATGGGAATAATGCAAAATTTGTTTTTTTGATAACTTAATGTTGAGAAATCCAAAATGTGCATATCTAAAACTTCACCGATTCTGTCCAACTTTTATCCGTAAAAAAATTGATACCACTCGAGTTGTCTAAATATGTTTCCGAGCAATCAATATCTCTGCCTAGTCTCTGCATAGGAAAGTATGTGATTTCGACATATTCGGTATTTTGCAGGTCCAATTTCAACTCGTTCTTTACAGATATCGTCAAATGTGCATATCTGAATTGCTTCGTACAGTATTCCTCTTTATTATTGTCATTTGTATGAAGCGTAAAAGTATACACTAGTATGTTCCCCAAAGCGATGAATTGCATGTATTTTGTAGAGAGGTGTCTGTCCAATTGTGATGAGAAATGCACCATATTTTGAACAAAAATATTACAAATTTCGCACCAAGAGTTACATTTGTTGTTCGCCATTGCTTTTATAAAGCTGTTGCTAGGTTACAATGGTTTTAACCGCTGTTAATATAGCCTGTAGTCTCGTAAACATTCTAAAATTCGCGGGATTTCGTAATAATTTTGATTTGCCGACTTCAAAACATTTGTAACTATTAAGTATTGGTAGACTTTTGAAATTTGAGCATCGATCAAGACTCGGTTGGCGTAAAGTTTGTTATATTTTATAATTTTGCTGGTTTTCTATATATCTGGTTTTATTTGCAATGGAAATTATGTGTTGAAAGCCATTCATTAGCTTGTCTCTTCTTATTTTCAATTTATAAATCTGCCGTGCTCAGATTATTTAGTTCTCGGTAAAACTCACTGAGCTATACGAGTAAAAATAAACAGCCATTTTGCCAAAACTGAACCACTGATCTGTATAGTGCATTGAATTATCAAGAAAACATGAGCCCGCACGCCCGACCGCTTAATGTCCTCCATTTCTGGCCATGGCTAAGCAACCAATAAAACATGTAGCTACCTGTGAGGTTGCTTGTAACAGCTCATAAACTGAGCAAACGGCAGAATTGAATCGATAGCTTCACCATTAGATATTTAATACTTCAGTCGATTTAATCCTTTATGTACCCCTTGGCTGTCCATGGCACTTACAGTAAATAATTGAAAGATGACAAATTCCAAAAAGTAAAAACATCATGGCCACTCGATTTTTGTACTGGGAAGTTCGGTTTGCACCAGCATTTTTATACGGGTACAGGGGTAATATTAAAGAAATACCGAATGGTTTTCTGTGCATGATTGCGTTATCCATGCACGCGAGATGTTTCGAGACTTTCGGAAAGCGTGAATTTGTTTTTATGCTTTCTGAGAAATAGTCGAGAAATATCCCAAGTGCATGGATCACGCTATCCTGAACGAACAAGTCGTTCGGTAATTGTTTTATAAAATAACTACATGTACAGTGAAACAATGGTCAAGTTAATCTACTCTCTGTAGTTATTGTGAACATTTGTTCACTGTTATGGTGAACTTATACCGCTCGTTTAATTTAATATACTGTAATTGTTTATATGACGCATTGAAATGTTTTCGTTGACCGACATTTTGAAAACCCCGCAGAAGGCACTTCAATTTTCCGTGCAACATTGTCTTATCCTGCACTTCTGTGCAGGATTGTCTCATCCTGCACGGGTATTGACCAATCAGATTGCGTGTTTTACTGTAGCTATTATATAATGTGAGGTAAATGAGGGTTTGTTACAACTTGTTTTGGATTTACCGAATATTTTCATCTGTAACTTATCTTAAAATTTTGACTACAAATTTTTATTTTAGTAAATTTTATACGTTTCAATTTTAAAACTTCTGTACAGGGAAGGTCTTGAAATAAAATGTTTACTTTTAAAAATGTCGCATTGTAAAGATTTTTATTAAACTTTCTCAATTATCGCAGAACAGCACGGTCTATATAAAGTAGAAAAGATAGCCTAGCGACTTCGTTTTACAGACAATTTTACGACTCAAGCTTTATACTTTTGCCATGTTGCCAATGCATGCATCGAATGAGATTCCCCAAAACCTGATAATTATCGACACACTGAACATTGCCATCACCTTAGTATTTATATACACGAATTTGCGTGTAGAGCTTGACAACTGTCTTTCTGTAGCTCAGTTGGTTAGAGCGCTGTACTGTATAATTGCAGGGTCGCAGGTTCGATTCCTGCAAAGGCCCGATTTCGCAACTTCTCCTGGTTAGGTCTATGTACAATAATGCCACTCGAAATTTCCACCTGTAATTCTCTTCAAAAATAAGTTATATGAGATAGTAGATAGTATATTTGAACTTCCATGGCAGCATACACTGAATTGCAGAAGTTTTACGTTATGATTAGATAGATCAACCGGACTGACGTGAAGCAGAGCGAGGTAGACTTTGAGCTTACAAATGGCGCTGAGCAGCCGCTATTAGTCCATACCTCATTAATGATCTGCCTCCAGACCTTATGTGCCTACCCCACCCTGTCAACTTTCCCTGTGGGAGATGCCCAAAATGCGAGATGCCCAAAGTGCGCCTATGTGAGATGCCCAAAATGCGGATATCTATATACCCATGGCAGTTAGAGTCTTAGTTACCCAACTATATGTCTTAGTTACCCAACTATAAACTAAGACGTATCATCAAATATGTATATATTTGATGATAGTTTCCAGAGATTCACACTCCCCACAATTTGGGCCAAACTGTATAGGAGTTAGCGGTTTAGTTTTGACTAAATATTCGTGTTATTTAACCATAACAACAGACTATCGTTTCTCGCTGCATATTATTGGCAACAGGAAACTGCGGGTTTTTTTCTCAAACATAAAGTTAAACTGCTAGAACTTAAATTACTATTTCATAGATATATTGTTTGGGTGATAAAGTATTTCTTTAAAAAAGAGTGCAAGTTAGACTTCTACCCCTTTTAAATTGCAAGGTTAGTTTTCATAGGTTTTACGCCGTATCACGGATCAGTCTCGAATGACGAAAGCTTTCTGCATTGACCTTTTCAGAACGTTTCTCTCCATTGTTTATACTTTATTTTAATCGGGTTTGGAAAATAAATTAATACAATGATTTTACGTCGTGATGATTTTAAAATAACGTTGGCGCGCGAAATAAGTTTGAAATGCAATTATTGCTATTATGTATGCCATTATATTCTACAGCAGACTACTACCGTATTCCTTTTTCGTTAGTTTTCCTGTAAACTATAATTACATACTTGTCCAATGCATTTTAGTCGCTATGTGCTGTTCGTCAACCTTATATTGCGGTAATGCTTTCAGATTGTATGCTGGCTAACCGAGGCAAAGTTCAAAACCTTCGACCAGTCGACCACTAAGGGCGATATGAGATTGTTTATGCATGCATGTTAGCACGATCTTAAGTCTTATATTTTTCTAATTAACTGTATGTCTAATATTTAGGCCAACTCGGATCATTAAGTAAATTTTATTCCCAAAGGTGTTGAGCATGCGCCCAAAAAACTTTTTCAGAGTCAAAAAGTTCACAAATCCCATGGATTCTGCAGGGTTTGCAACTGAATTGGGTTAGACGGCGAATAAAATCCGAAATAGGTGAAAATTACGGGAATTTGTGGATTATAAATCACTTAATTTTTACGCAAAAGCACAATAATGAACATATTTGGCACGAAGCAACCGTAACAACGGAGTGTCGGAAGCACGAATTAGAATATGTATGAAAATCCGTCGTCGCGTTAGAGGTCGAGGGTTTTGATTTTGAAAGGACAACCTTAATTAACTGTATAACTATGGGCAATGCAATTATAAAGAATGCCAAGGGCAAGGCTTATCCTTCAATTATTTTAGGGCTGATGGAAGTAATGTGTCAGCTTAATCAACTTGTTGCTATGACAGTCTCATAATATTTATAC